TCCTTCTAAAATAAACAAACTTATTATACAAAACGGCATATTTTATTATTATAAATCTGAAATGTGTCACATTCTATACCGAGTTTATTTATTTTGGAATAAAGTTAATATATTTTTTGCTTTTAATTTCTTCCTATGTGAAACTATTTCAAGTTTGACTACACTAATAGATAAAAATAAATTAATATGAGCATTATTAGATCCACACTATAAAATATACTCCCTCCGTTTCAGATTTTAAGTCGTTTTTGACAAATTCAAACTGGAAGTTTTTGAATAAGATGAACGATCAAACATGTTTAAAAAAGTTCACGGCATCAAATATTTAAATATTTAGGGACGAAGGAAGTATAATCTGAAACGAAGGGAGCATTTAATAGTTCTTTTGGCGTGATAGATGTTAATATTAATTTATCGATAAGATTTGCACAAACTTAACTTAATATAGTTTAACTTATAAATGTATTTTTTTTTTACGAAGAAAGTATATGCATTTTCCTCGTTTGTTTCTACTTTCTACCGTTGTTGGGCCTATTAGTGCTAGTCGGCCACAGCTTGCACGCAAGTGGCTTTCTGATCTTGGTCGGCAGGTGAAAGCTAATTGAGCTACCTAAGAGTCCCATCAGTAGAGCCCCTAGAGTGCATGCTGCACGCATGAATGCAAACCGATCGATCATATAATTAAGGAGATATCTCATCACGTCAAGAAGAGAGTTGGTGGCTAGAATATATTGACGAACTTTATCTGTTCCATGCCTCCATGAAATATTAATTTACCGGCGAATACCACAGCACATATGTAAGTAGAGGAAGTATAGCTACTACTCCCTCAATCCCATAATATAGCAACCTTATACTGGATAGGATATTTTATAGGATAATAAATCTGGATATTCTTCTGTTGTTGAATAATGAAATGTCCTATCCAGTATAAAGTTGTTATATTATTGAACGGAGGAAGTAGCTAACTGGTTTTGTTAATCTGCGGATGATCCAGTTATGCTTGTTGGTACGTACGTCGTTACGTACTTACGTCTCATTTGGAAAATATGGTTTGTCCCATCAGTATATCTACTCTGTCTCATCAACCATTTTTGCAAAATACTACCTCCATTCCAAAATGTTTGACGCCGTTGACTTTTTTAAAAATGTTTGACCATTCGTCTTATTCAAAAAACTGTTAATTCTTTTTCTATCATTTAATTTGTTGTTAAATATACTTTTATGTATACATATAGTTTTACACATATAACAAAATTTTTTGAATAAAACGAACGGTCAAACATGTTTAAAAAAGTCAACGGTGTCACATATTTAGGAAAGGAGGGAGTAATAAGTTATAACAGGGTGTATGTTTATCCTGCGCATAATGGGTTCTTCAATTCAATATTGACTTGTGCACAAAGTTGGCTGTGCTCTTCTAGAGAGCTATGTTTATTTTGGGGGATTCTAGAGCTATGCTTAATATCTACTTGTGGGTATAATCTTTAAAACATAATGCATGCATTGGCAATATTACTAAAACCCTATCCATCTATGACAGAATTTGCAAAAGAAAAAAGGAAAAAATAAACAGAAAGAAAATCAAATACGTTTAAACATCATGAGAATCTGCCTCGCTCTTCTCTGTCTAATTAAGCATCTTGCCTATCTGCAAATCGAGATCTTTTAAAAAAGGGTAATTTGGAACCATGCCATTATAATTTTGCAAAGTTTGAGATATGCCATCGGTATCTCAATGACATGTAGGACCCACATGAGTCAATGACATGTGGGTCAGGATGGCATATCTCAAATTTTGCAAAAATATAATGACATGGTTCCAATTTAATGGCATGGTTCCAATTTTCCCTTTAAAGAAGAATATAGCAACCACAGCAATATATTCAGTTCGTCTCAAAATACAGTACCTACTAGCCTTCAAAATCTTTGTACAAATATAACAACTTCTACTACTAGAAAACATACTTTTTTGCAAATGACAAAATAAATTTTCGCACGCGGACATTCACCCCGCCTATAGTTAAGGCCTGCGAAAATACATAATTTTTACAAGCGATCAACGGCACTGCGATAATGATTTTCACAGACGGCCTCTTCATCTTTGTAGGCGCTATAGCCACCCACCTACAAAATTATTATCGGTGAACAAAAGAAAAGAAACCTGCCACCAGCCCCACCGGCCGCCATCACCAACCTTCGGTCGTGCCGCTGCCCCTCCGCCAGATCTAGGAGGTACAGGGAGGGGAGGGGAGCCGCACTGCCGTCGCCACCCTACCCCCTCCGGGCACACCGCTGCCAATGCTCCTCCCGTCTGCTGGATATTGGAAGGAGGGAGGGAGGGCAGGGGCCGCGCCACCTCTTCCGCGCACCGGCATCCCCCTTCCGGCTACGCCGTTGCTGACGCCACTCCCCTTCGCCTGATCTGGGAAGGAAGGAAGGAAGGGGAGGGGAGGGGAGCCAAATCTGCGGAGGGGCCTAACCGCCTCTTCCACGTGCTACCGGCGCCCTCCCCTCTCCGTTTGTGCCACTGCCGATGCTCCTCTCCTCCTCCGGATCTGGGAGGGAGAGGAAGAGGAGGGGAGGGGAACCGGCCGGATCTTAGAGAGGAAGAGGAGGGGCCGTGCTGTCTCCTCCGCTGCCAGCGTTGGTTGTGGCTGGCCCCTCCGCCGTCGCCGGGCTGTGGCCAGCGCTGCCACCGTGTCCAGTAGAGAGAGAGGGAGAGGGAGAGGATAGGGAGATTGGTGAAGGAGATCCGATTGGTGGGTGAGGGACTTAACAGGGTCCTCATATTTTCCAGGTGGACCACTTATAAGGCCGACTCTGCCAAAATCATATTTTTCTAGGCGGAGACTTAAGAGATTCGCCTGCAAAAATAAATGTATTTTCAAGCAGATCTCTCAAGGCTTTGCCTGTAAAAAATAAAAGTCAACGTTTCTTATTCACGATCAACCAATAATACCCTTCCAGCATTTATATTTTTCCACATATTTTCTCGTCTCAATCAATCAAAACCACCTCTGGGATCGCGTGCTTTCAAAGATCAATACCCTACATTATATAATGTGGCTCGGAAGAAGCAGTCTACTGTAGCAGAGGTCATGAGCACAACGCCGCTAAATATCTCTTTTAGAAGAGCTATTGTTGGCCAAAAGCTAATCGAGTGGAACGATTTGATCCTCAGGCTAGCTAATATAACTCTGTCAAATGAAAAGGACTGCTTTGTATGGTCGCTCCATAAGAATGGTCAATTTTCTGTCAAATCTATATATGCCGCGATCATGAACTGTAATGTTCGGATCAAAAAGAGAATTCTGTGGGACTTGAAAATTCCACTAAAGATCAAGGTCTTTATGTGGTTTCTTCACAAGAAAGTAATTCTAACGAAAGATAACCTGGCTAAAAGAAAATGGGGGGGAGACAAACATTGTTCTTTCTGCTATGCACAAGAGACAATCCAACATCTTTTCTTTGAGTGTCATGTCGCTCAGTTTGTTTGGAGATGTGTGTTTTTTGCTTTTAATATCCCCCCACCCCGTAACGCCAAAAACATTTTCGGTAATTGGCTTAGAGGGGTATCTAGATCCATTAAGAAGATGATTCTAATTGGAGCTAGCGCTGTATGTTGGTCAATTTGGCGTTGTCGCAATGATAAAAGTTTTAATGGTAAACAATTATCTAACCCTATGCAGGTTATCTTCATGTCTTCCTACTGGCTCCACTTCTGGTCTACAATGCTACCACAGGAGGAGCAGGATACTATGCGCAATGGTGCTACACTCTTGGAATCGGTAGCCAAGGGCCTCTTATTCCACTATGGGTGGCGTAGTTACATAAGAATTGCTAGCTAAAATATTTTATGTGATTTAACGCTAGTCAATAATAAAGGGGAGTTGGGGTTTTGTCCCATCACCTTATTTCTCATTTTGATTTACTTTTATGAAACCTTTTTTTTACTATTAAACTTATGGCTGTGTGTCTTATGACAGAAGCCGGAAATGTAATCCATTTCCATTATTTAAAAAAAAAATCAAAACCACCTCCATAAACCCTATGAAAAACTGAAATATTGCTTTGACTTTGGGACGGTATAATTATGCGCTTTTCATTTAAACTTTGTGCAAGTGGTCACCAATAATTTGCTTTCGCAATCACGAATATCATGGTTACACTTACAATGATTTGAGCCGTACTTGGGTGGACATGCACCAACTTTACTATTTTGGTTCTTCCCTATGGTAATTATGACTTCGTAGGTTGGGTGTTGCTCTTTGTTATCGAAAACAAGGTGCTATGAGCCTCTGATTGAAACAAATTATAACTTTTTGAATAAACTAAATTTTGGATTCATACTAAATATATGTGAAGAACTGAATACTACATGAGAAGCATCATTTGGAAACTTTTAAGTCCTGAATATAAGTGCTCTTTTTGTGATGAGTTGTTTCACAGAATGCCACTCTGTTTTCACCTAAGAGGCATTTTAAAATTGTGCAGTGCGCTATCATAGTGGAATAAAAGAAAAAGGAAAAAAACATTGCTATATATGATCAATCCATATGCCATGAGGTCAAGACCAAGTGGTAGTAAACTGCTCCTAGTATTTGATATGCTAATGATCTTAACATTACTTTCTCCGTTTCATACTATAGACTTTCTAGCGTTGCCCACATTCATATATGTGTTAATGAATCTAGATATATATGTGTGCCTAGATGAATCTATATGAATGTGGGCAATGTTAAAAAGTCTTATAATCTGAAATAGAGGTAGGAGTACGTATTATGACTTCATAGTAAGAATCTTCTATTATTGTATTATATTTGTACTTAGTCAATTAAAAGGATTGATCTGTTAAAGAAGGCATCTGGAAAAGATGTAGAACAGAACCATTTTGGACAATCTTTAAAGTGTCTTTTCTATGCAAATTTTTTGTTTTGTTGTAGTGAAAAAGATGAATAGTGGAGATTCCGTCTTTTCCAAGCTTTCAGAAAGCAGAATAAACTTAGACGTAATATTATTAATTAATCCTGGCAAAATTAAATACATATATTAACATGATTGGATAATGTATCAAAATTGATGGTACTTGATTCAAAGCTACTCATATTCTGTACAGAGGGGAGAACTGACTATATCCTCTTCTATACATGATATCAGAACTCAAAATTAATATACAGTAATTAAGACAAAAAAAAAAGCAGTGCGTTATGCACCTCAACAGCAGCAGACCAGCATCCTGGCCTCCAGCTGCCTCTCCATGTTGAACCTTGCGATGAATTCCTCCACTCGCCGGTTCAGCTCGTCGGCCGGCGGGAGATCGTCCCTCTCCTCCGCCGCCTCCTCGGCCTCGCGCCGACCTCTTTCCTCCACAACCAAAACCTCCCCATCTTCAAGGACTAACTGATCAACAACACCTTCTTCTTCCTCCTTTCTCATCATGTCAGTGATGAGTATCTCACCAACAGCTAGATCATGACCTTCCTCTCTGATTTGATCAATCTCTACACCATCAGAACTCAACAATGCATCCACTTGTTCTTCTAGAACGGCGAATTCTTCGTCTTCCAGCTCCTCGCACCGATCATCTCCGGTGATCGCCGGAATCACCGAGTCCACCACCACCTCCTCCTCTCCTTCCTTCTCATGGACCACCATGTCACCCTCTACCACTGCAGCAACATTCTCCTTGTCGATCTTGGGATGCCCAAATTTAGACTCGCCGACGAGGAAGACGACGATGATGTTGGAGAAGACAAAGAGGCACTTGGGCGCGACGACGGCCGAGGTGAAGGAGGGGAGGTACACCATGAACAAAGCCCTCATGAAGGAGTACATGTGAGGCACCCACGTCGCCATGAAGAGGATGCCTAGTGCAAGGAGAGAGATCTTGACGATTTCCTGGATTCCCATCCTTAATTAGGACGATCAAGCTAGCTCAATTGTGTGTACTGTTGCTGCTTGAGCTTGATGAGATCTTTTCTTTGGGTGTGTTGGTTTTGCAAGAATGCATGTGATTGTTGGAACATGTGAGGGTACATGGAGCTGAGATGGACAGAATGGGTGTATATATAAGGCTCTGAAAAACCTGAATTTTTGTGTGGGGGTTTTCTCTCACAGGCTAAGTTATTCCATCTGCATATAATTACACATGAAATCATTGGCTTCTTTTTCAGTGTGCTAGCTGCATGCTTGTCTCCATGACTTTGAAAAAAGTGATGTGTGTAGGGGGATCGTAGGATGGTGATCGCCTGGCTTGTTGCCGCGTGCATCTAGATTCGTTGTTGCAAAGCTGTCTGTTTTCCTGTGGCTATACAGCCCTACAGCATGCAAGCGCTGTCTGCATTGCTTGGTTACAACTGCCAATATTTACCAGAAAAATATATAGTGCAAACTACATATACAGTGAAAACTACATATGAAGTGAAAACTAATAAACTACCGTTGGATCGAAAAATGAACGTTCGAGATGTTGAATAGTCCCATATGGGTTGTGGAAGGGCAAATGACCTAAGATATAAGTAGGGGAGCGCGCCCCTCACCTCAATGGCTAGCTTTTGGGGGTGGGAAAGGCCCTTTACGATCCTTCAATTGGTATCAGAGCTAGGCTAAGTTAACATCTCTGGTCCGATGGACACGTGTGAAAGCCTAATAGACCGTGGGTGCCTGCGGGGCCCGTATACCTGATGGACCGTGGGCTGGTGGGGCCCTGATACGGTGAAGGGGCTGGCTAGCTTTTGGGGTGGGAAAGGCTCTTTACGATACTACACGAGATTCGTCTATGTCATTGAGAGTAAAAAATTTTACTTGACTCTCTCGTGAGTGAATCTGCGAGTAAAATTTTTACTCATGATGACGTGGACGAATCACATATCTTTATTTTTCGATCCAACGGTAGTTTTCAGATTTATACTGTATATATCGTTTTCACCTTATATTTTCCCAATATTTACCGTGCACACAACACACACATCAGAGGAAGAACATGAAGCCTAAGCTGTTATATACTACCTCCGTTTTTTAATAGATGACACCGTTGACTTTCTCTCACATGTTTGACCATTCGTCTTATTTAAAATATTTAACTAAATATATTTTCTTTTGTCGTGGTTTGATTTATCACTAAATGAACTTTAAGCATGACTAATATTTTTAAGATTTGTATAAAATTTTTGAATAAGACGAACGGTCAAAGGTTATAACAAAAGTCAATGGCGTCATATATTAAAAAACGGAGGGAGTATAAGCATGCACGCACATCGCAGAAAATTAAATGGACGGCCAACTTTCGTAGTTTCCCTGTGATGGGTCCCACTCATCAGGGACTAATAGAGATATGGAGAGAATAAAAAAAAATCATATTTTCTAGCTGTGTTTCTCCGTCTAGTTTTTTCTCTGCTTACAGCTCACTAAGGCTGTGTTTAGATCCAAAGTTTGGATCCAAACTTCAGTCCTTTTCCATCATATCAACCTGTTATACACACAACTTATCAGTCACATCATCTATAATTTCAACCATAATCCAAACTTTACGCTAAACTAAACACATTCACACATGCCTCGTCTTGTCGGCCACACGTAGCTTAGCTATAACTAGTATGGTATAGCACGTACGACACCAGTTGTTTCATGGTTGATGGATGCAAGCTAAGCTATGTAGGAATCCCATCCATAGAGTTATAGAGACTAGAGTGCATGTACATCGATCGATCAATATATATATGTTTGCATGACAACAATCAATTGAGCAGCTAGTCAAGGTTATCACGTCGTGGAGACATTTTATTTTTATGTTTAGGGCACACGTTTTCGAGAGAGTTGGTAGCTAGATGGAATATTGCCAAACATGCATTATTCCACTTTACGGGCCATCTGACACCACAGCACACTACCAACCGGTTTATTGCAAATCTGCGTCTGGGAGAGGCTACTATTTGTCCCATCAGTATATCTGCCTTATTGTTTTTTAATCTGGCTGTTTGTACAAAAAACAATATATCTATGTGTTCCTTAATTACTTACTCCCTCCGTCCGAAAAAAAGACAAACCCTGGTTTCCATACCTAATGTTTGACCATCCGTCTTATTTGAAAAAATTATGAAAAAAATTAAAAAGACAAGTCACGCATAAAATATTAATCATGTTTTATCATCTAACAACAATGAAAATACGAATTATAAAAAAATTTCATATAAAACGGACAGTCAAAGTTGGACACGGAAACCCATAGTTTGCCTTTTTTTGGGACGGAGGGAGTACGTACCAAGTGGCTTTATAGTTTGACTAGATATCTTCAATCTTAAAATTGGGCTTTTAGTTTGACTAGATATCTTCAATCTTAAAATTCTTAAATAGTAAAGGTTACAATCTTTAAATTGGGCTTTAGTTTGACTAGATACCATGACATTAGTGAGGATACGTATAAAATTGAATAGTTTTGGAGGAAATTACCTAAGCAAACTCCGGAAAATGTGGCTGAAGTGATTTTTTTTAAAAAATTCTCAATTGGATTTGAAATGATTTTTTTACACATATTTTCAATATACCATGAAAATTCTCTTCAAAAGTCGTTGCTTATGTGAGCCGTCAGAATAATATGGGGCCATATGTGAGTGAGAACCTATACATATTCAACCTGTGTCCACTTGTTAGTGAGTTAATTCGCTTTTTACACACTTAAGAAAATTTTACTTAGAGAAAATATCAAAGCTTCTTACAATATGGGAAAAAAAGAGATAACCTACATGTTAGTGAGCTAAAATATATAGATATATTAATTTTGAGATATTGGAATTGGACAAAATATTCTAAGAACCCACTTGTCATACTTAGCAAGAGTAAAACCCTATAAAAATTAAAATACTACTTGTGCTTACATGTCATATTCAACACGTCAATAGGCCCTGGTATATATATTGATAATTATGGACGGTGGTCATTAGTGGTTGTTTATGATTTCTATTTACATGAGCAACTATTTAACCCTCTAAATAGTCAACATTAAGTAGGCATTGTGTATTTTTATTTGTATGTGAAATTAAGGGTGAGGAGGCTGAGAAAATGGTTTTGTAGCGACAACAGTACGTATAAGGTGAAGTTTGAAACATCTTTATATCGAGAAATAGCATGCAGGCCGGTAAGATAACTGTAAAATCAACTAATTCATATGATCTGGCTACAAACAAACCGACCAAATATATAAGTCTAATAATCCATACATTTATGATTTATCGACTTTAAGCAACAGAGGACCATTAGTACAAGAGCCATCACATCTAACCACACGCAGATATTTCCAGAGTGCAAAAGGTGCGTACTCCAGCTAGCTAGAGGCCCTAATCCTCGGCATGCATGTGCCTTGTTACATTACATTAACTTATCCTATCATGATTCGTCACTGCTCTGGAATATGTCCTATTGTGCGCAATCGCATACATCACGATGATCAGGATCACCAATAATTTTTTTAGGGGACAAGCAGAAGCTGCACGGACGCATGCTTATCCATCAGTGTTGAAATCTGTGATCCATTTATTGGAAGCTTGTTACACACTTACACTCTCTTTTATAAAAATATTGTACTGTACTTCCTCCGTTTCACAATGTAAGTCATTATAGCATTTCCTACGTTCATATATATATTGATATTAATGAATATGTGAAAAATGATAGAATGACTTACATTGTGAAATGGAGGGAGTATACATCAGCTGAAAACCATAGATAATGGAAATGCTGGATTTACCTAATGAAAAATCAAAAATGGAGATCAAATATAGTTCAGATGCGCAAATTTAAAGCTTAAATAATGGTGCTTTGCATATTCTTCGTTCTACTATCTTGACATTAAGATGGCACATGTGAAATATTTTTGTCCTTAATTTTGTCGGAAAATAGTTTCCCCTTTCTGATATTATATATTTTAATGGCTGGTTTTATTTGAAAATTTTATTTTATTTTCTGTTCTGGAAAAGGCAGTAATTAACTGCACTAGCCGTCAACCCGTGCGTTGCACGGGTTACTGTGATTAATAATTAAAATATTATTACTTTCAATGGATAATGATAAAATATGTTACTTTGAATGAAGCTGACAGTTGCCAAAATCTTAATTAATTAGTAATTTCATATATAATCCATTCTAATATTTCTTCTATTACTTTATTTTTTTCAAAATTACATAATTTAAAATTTCAATATTAGAAATATAGATTTATACTCGTTTTGTTGCTCTTGTTAGCATTTGCTATAAAATAATTTAGCAATTTTCAATTAATAAGTACAGAAATAAAATTAGTTTGGAGTTAAGCTTTTTCATGATTTAATGATTCCTATATTCATAATTATTAAATATTAAGTTGTATTTTGTGTGGAGTCTCAATATTATAACATCTTCATAATTTGATTTTAAAATTCGTAACTAAAAATATTATACTCGGTTTGATATCTTATTTTTTGTTTTATCATGATTTAACAATTGTTCCAAATTTTCGAATCAATAGTAGTTCTTTCATGATTTAAAAGTATCAAAATTTGAAAGTAATTAATATATATCGCTACACTTGATCAGAAGTATCAGTTATTTCTATAATTTAATATTTATGAATTTAGGAATTAACTGGTACCTGTTTGTCCTTGTGTTGGTCTCCTAATTTGGTATAATACGCTAGATGCATGAATTTTAGTGGCACTTTTACATCATCGGTGTGTTGTAAAAGTGGCCCACATCATTACAGTAGACATAATTCAGACCAAATAGTCCTTAAAACTGACAAAAGGCATAACTACTCCTAGTTAGAAATCATTCATTCTTACTCCTTATTAGTCTGCTAAATTGAATTTTGATGACATCATACATTCACTGAAACAAATGTATTTGGATGAAGCATATATGGAGCAGATTTGTTAGTGATATATGTTTAACTTATCTTGTCATCTTGGTTAAAAGAATAGCCCACATCATCGACAATTGCTAATTACACCTGACATAGATAATGCTAATTAACATCTGTAAATATAAAAAGAGAAACATTAAAGTAAGTGCTTGTTTGTTTCTTATTCATAAATAGATAGGGGCAGCAGCTACGTTCCCTTGTTTGTAAGCA